AGTTATAATTTATTGTCAAATTTGTATCGGAATTTGCTTGAAAATATTAAGTTTTTGCTCCAGATGTATGATTTGTCACGAGTTTTACAAAAAATAAGATTTGTTAATTTGGAAAGAAATTGTGGTGTACATAACATTACATAACTGTTACTAAAGGCTACAGGAAGTGTTTTTTTTAGCAGCACTAGTTTCTAAATTTAGCCACTGGATCTAAGCACTTTTTCGTTATTAGGGCCCAGTAATTTTATTTTTATTTTTTATTTTTTTTTCCTTTTTTTCGCGCATTCTTAATTTTCTGTCTACAAGTGATGGAAAGTAATTAACGGAATAGTTGCTCATTAAGCAATCTCAACTTGAAATGAAAATTGCAACATTGAAGGAAACCTGATAAAAATGACATTTAATAAAAAGCAGTAATTTTGTGATTATCGTAAAATGTGATCAAAGGAAATTATAATTTATTTTGTTTATGAAATATTATACAATATATATAATATACATTTATGCATAAAATGCGTGAAATACGAGAATTCTCTATTTATTTGAAAATATAATGAAATAGTGCCAGAAAAATCAACAATCAGGGAAAGTACAGAGAAAATAAGTTTGGGTTGCGGGCAGTCGCCCTAAGGGCAGCTTCAATCCACGAATAGGCTCTTTGGCAGGCGCTGCCCTGGCAGTAATTGTATGAATTGCTGACTCGTGACGCAGCCTTCTTGTTTGTGGAAACCACTGCATTTACATCTGGAAATTGAGGTGTTTCTCCTCTGCTACTCTGTGCAATCCGTAAGCTAGACATGTAATGTGAACCAATATCGGATAGAATATTCTGAGGTTCAACTGCCTTGATCGTATATGCCGCAGCATCAGTTATCAAAGCTACAAAGCTTCGGTTTTTCTTCCAATTGCTACAGAAGGCATTGTATATCGTGAACAATCGGGCAATAGTCGAATGGTTTGTTCGGAGGCTTACCTGGCTCATTAGACTAAAGTTTTCTACGTCAACTTTTCCAATGTCTCTGCCACACGAGACAATTATCTCGTCAAGGGAAAACCAAATGTCGTAATCACCGATGTCCTCTCTAATCTCACGCATTACTTCATTGTGCAGAGGTATTAGATATCCCATTCTTCATGTAGATTCATCAGGAATGTTTCTCTGGGAGTACTTCTCAGGAAATTCTGAAACTGCTGATTGAGTTTTTAAACGGAATGTTAGCAGAAACGAGGGCCTTGCGCTCCAGAATACCTATTGCTGCTGCTCTACTCGTTGCTGCCTGAGTTCCTAGCTTCTTCACTTTTCTTTTGGAAGAACTTCTCACTTCTCACACGTCTCGTTGACTTGATGTGCTGCGTAATTTGGAATTTCTTGTCACACGAAACCTAGAATTCATGTAAAACATGCCACCGGGTCAACTGTTCCTCTGAATACGTGCAGAATCTTACATTCTATTTACATTGGCTAAAGTCTAGTATACGGTACAACTTACGGAGTTTAACTGGCACTTGGCGCCACTCCGGCGGCAACAGCGCAGTTTGAATTCTGGAGGCTTCTTGCAAAGTGCTTTCTTATAAAAGTGAATTGGTAATTATGCGGTGGATAGACTCAAGGATGTTTATAGTGAACGCGAGAGCCTCGCCCTGACTTGGATCCGGGCGAGCGAAGCGGGAAAACTTGAAAGTAAATTGGCATTACAATGCAACAGGGACACAGCTTATGAAGGGCGAGCTATGAAAATCGCCTACCCGTAAGCTGTATTTATTTCTATCGGAGCGCGTAACGTAATTTGAAAGAAAACTTAAGGAGACTGCTTTCGCAGTCGCGAAGGCCGCCCGTGCGTCTGATCTGCCTTTGGAATTTACACGTTGGTCTCCCACACGAACCGGAACTGCGATAACCCTCAGATTTTGCCCGACCGACGGAACTACGTGATTGAAAGTCGCCGCGCGTTGTGATCGCAAAACTTTCGATTAATTGTAGTCGATTAATTATAATCGAAAAAATATAATTTCAATTAATGTAATATTTGGTTGAAAAGTAACAATCAATCGATTACTAGTCCCGCGTCGGGCATGGTTGTATTGTGTCCGTCCTTTCAGCCCCTTATCATATCACGTCATTCTCACAGTTATCATATCTTTACAAGCAACAGTGGTCGCTAATGACCTAGAAGTTGATGCGACCTAAAAAAAAAGAGAGAGAGTGAGAGAGAGAGGGGGAGGAGAGAGAGAGGGAGGAGAGAGAGGGAGGAGAGAGAGTGAGAGAGAGGGAGGAGAGAGAGTGAGAGAGAGGGAGGAGAGAGTGAGAGAGAGGGAGAAGAGAGAGTGAGAGAGAGGGAGGAGAGAGAGTGAGAGAGAGGGAGGAGAGAGAGTGAG